TACAAGAATGCAATGACACGAGACGAAAATCAATGCGAAGCGCCGAAACGAACACAAATGTGAAACAGGATGAGGATAATTTTTGTCAACGATATCCGTTGACATCCGTCGGTCACGACACATCCCCCAAACGCCCCCCTCGTGTAATATGTAATGTGATGTCGTCTGTTGACTTCTGACTTGTGACTTCTGTGACAAACACACTCGCCATACATTACGCAGGCAATATTTTTAATTAAAATTGCATCTCGTCCTTCGCGTTCAATTTAAAAAATAAAAATTTTAAGTGAATTGAATTCTGAGGCAATATAAAAAGTTGACTAATGATTCAGTCTTATCTTCAGCATGCGATGCTGTTTTTCTTCACCTTGCTGTCACTTGTAATTCACTTCTTTTGCATCGCTGCATGTAATTTAGCTTCTTAGCCGACGCAATTTACGTCGTTTTAATTCGGCCGGAGAAGCGTCTTGATGATGGATTACGGACAAGTTTCGGTTTAATTCTTGACGCATGCAAATTAGCACACTTTTTATACCTTTCACTCATTAATTAAACCTGCAAAAAGTTTACGGTTTTAATATTAAAGTGTATAAAGTATATCTAGAAGATATTGAATGACATAAATTTCCTATCATAAACTTTGTAAGGCGAATTTAATGATGGAACTTTGTAATGAGTTTTCTTTTAGTGTTCCAATTTTCCGATGGATTAATTTTGCTTAAAGGATATAAAAAATCATATTTTACGCGGTTTCAGTATTTTTTAGTATAAAAAAATTGTTTCTGCATAGATGGCGACTCATTTACCATTCTTTTCTGCATATATAATAAACGTACGTTAGTTACAACATTTATAACTCAATAACGACTGTGTCGATTTTGATAATCTATGATTTTCGGGTTCGTCTTAGTCTAAAATAGTAGAATAGCTATTAAAATATTAAAAATTATAATTAAAAAGCGTATAAAAATAGGTATAAAGATTCAATTATAGTTATAGTGGAATAATTTAATTGGAAATGGCGCTACAAAACGTTATTAGCATTTTTAATTTATGTAAAATTTAATTAAAAATCTTATTACTGCAATTGACACATTCTACAAGATCTAAGAAGGTAAAAATTAATTACATTTTTAATAAAAACTAAAATGACAAAGTCACGACAAAAACTTATATTAAATGAATTCGTTTGAAGTGAACTGAATGCAAATAGAAATAAAATTCAACAGTAAAACATTCTGCAACGTCAAAACGACAGAATGAATAAGTCTTGAAACATTGTTGGAATGTTGTTGAAGTTGAAGTAGTCTAATAAGCCGGCTTGTACTACTCGTATTTCTCCGAACCACCCCTTCAATCTGTCGCGAAGCTTTCCGCCGCGTTCTTCATCTATTCATTTTTATGTTGCTCATTCCGCATAGTCTGCGAGTCTACTTCACTGTCTAGTTTCAGTCACAAATTGACAAACTGGGGACAAAGGGCGATATTTCACCAGGCGAGATGAGGACGCGTATGCGGATGATAGAGTAGTTGACGAAATTTCTCAGATGCAAGTGCAGCAAATAGTGTAGGTATGCAAATTTTACGCATATTACATTGTAAAAGAAGTTGAAGTAGAAGTAGAAGTAAAAATATATTGAAGTTTATTTTTTAGTGTTTTTTTTTTTAATTTTTATGTTTTGATGTTGTTTTTGGGATAAATACAAACTATAAATTATTAAACTGGTGAGCTGTCATCTGTTTTGTTTCACGAATGGGTAAATCCAGTGTTTACGGTCGGGAAAACATGGGAATTGGGGTTTGTTGCACGCCAGAATTCGCCTAAATTGAAAGATTTGCTCGGTGCTAAATGTTCTTGCACTCTAGTTGCATGGTACGAGTTCAGTTGCAGTCGCTGTAGGAATATCACGAGTCCGTACGTTATCGTGGTTATTATCTGGCGCCACTGGAACTGCATTCTCTGACACATTTCTAAACTGCTAAAGTGTTCAACATAAGAGTAAAATACGTATTTATTAAAGTAAATCGTTGATTTTTAGCCTGGCATTTTACTAAATTAAATAGAAATAAATATTTTAAATTTTGCATTTATTTATATTAAAAATTTAGGAACAAGTTTTGATATACAGCAAAATGGGAAGTTTCAATTGGCGAATTTCATTTTATCTACTTTGTTGTATGAAAAAATAAAAAAGGAATGTCAGAAGTGGGATTCGAACCCACGCCCTCAGAGAGGACCAGAATTCTCAACCTGTGTTCGAATCACAGGCAAGTTTACACTTGAGTCTGGCGCCTTAGACCGCTCGGCCATCCTGACATGTCTAAATCCGCTCAGTGCTACCGTTTTCCCGAATATATTTCATATGTGACATCATTTTTTCTAAAAATAATAGTTATTTATGTACCAAAACATCGCAGTAACATCCAGAAAAAAATATACAATTGACATATAACAAACAAATTGTACACAACCTTTGTTTATTCAAATTTAAAATTTTGTCATTATGCTTTTCCAAAGCACTTTCATTAATCATGATGATTTTAATACATTTGACTCCATTAAAATTCACCCTCATAAAGAGTAAACGCATAAAAATATACGAACACCCACATCGAATGGAAATTCGCGCGTAAAGTGTATTTGGTATTTTGGACGCGAACATGAAACATTGTATCACATCCAGACCGACCGACCGGAGGCATATCACATGTTTACGACGTGTAGTCATGTACGAAAATGTAAATTTTCACTCCCCCACACACAAAACCCACCCCGGACTTCCACATCACAACTTATCTTATTTGTTAAAGTTAGATTTTTGGGTTAAACTCAATATTATCTATAACAACTTGTAAAACTTAGCTTTACTCTAGTAAAGTCATCCAACACGATAATAACAATAATAATTACCATGCACATTGTAACATGTTGACATTGTTGACCCAGACCACATTATGTGCAAACACGTCGTTAAGACTTGCGCTCATTATCGTTTGCATAAATTAGCCTCAATTGGCTCGGTTATAATACTAATTGCTTCATGCACTGGTCGTGGGTGCAATGTATGCTAATTTAAGATTATGCATCCACCTACTTGTGTCGATGCGCACATAACATAACCTCTCCGGTTAAAATACGTTTAACAAAATGGCCGTCGAATCAACCTGCTTCACAGCCAGCAGCTATTAGTAATGTAATAACGCTTGGTCGTTTAGCTGCGTGAGTGGAATTTCTGGAATGAAATTACCAGCAGGCTAACCAGGCAAGTTGGCAAATGGCGTCGAGTTAATTTGATGATGTCGGGGTGCGCTGATAATGAGCTTGTCGCCGCAAACAGGTCGTAATATGATAACAGGATTTGATATGCGCTAATTTGGATCTCAACGTTTGCTTTATTTGTCTTATATCGGTTTATATATTTAATTAAGTTTTTGAAAGAAATCGTTTGTTTGCTATTAGATATCAATCAAAATGTGAATAAAAACCAAGTGAATTAAACAAAAATCAATCGCGATGGGGACGGATGAAGATTACTCCAGCGACGGCCGCGGCTTGAGTTGTTCAGGATGCGGAGCCGAAGCTGATCTGGACGAAAATAGTAGTAGTGTGATGAGTAATAGTGGCATTGGAGGCGGTGGTGGCGGTCGTACGCGTTCCAGCGATAAGAAACGCAACGGCATGTCACGCTCACGATCGCTGCCACAGCTCTCGCATCATGATTCTGGTTTGGGCAGCTTCTACGGGGTAAATATTTTGATATACCTACCCGCACCTAGATATTGGCCGTCGTTGCTGGAGCTATAACGTCGGAGTTTTATAGGGTTCAGGCGTGGAAGAGGTGCCTGTGAGCAGAGCGGCGCGTCTTGTTGCTGATTTGCGGCAATTGCTTACGCTTAAACAGCATTATTACCCCGAAGGTGGCTGGGGGTGGATTGTACTCATCGCCTGCGTGCTGGTGCACATCCTTGGCAACGGCATTATGCTCTCTTATGGATTGTTTAGTCTGGAGATTAGTCGCAAGTTTGGCAAAGACGTCGAACAGCCAACAGGTATAATATATACGAAATTGATACATAACCAAGTTTTATAACTAGGGATATTAAAGTGTTATGGGAATATACATTTCTAAACTGGTTTAGAATTTGTTGAAACTTGATATTCGGCGTTGGGATTAAGATTATTGCAATTTGTCATTTATCAATGTCTCATTTTTGCCCATTTTTTTTTAAACTTTCCTTTTTCATTTCTTATTCTTATTTTCTTTGATTTCTTATTTCTGATTTTTATTTATCTTCTAGAGAATTTCCCGTATATTACTAATTTTCAATCCGTTCCTCTCTATCGCTTTTAGTTTACGAAATAATCGCAATTAAAAATCGAGTAAAATGAATGCACAGGTGACTCTGATTCAGAGCACCGTACGAGGGCAAAGGTACAGGTGACTCTCGTTCTGTGCACCGTACATGTTCTTTGCTATTATTTTTGCCAATTAATTATAAATTATTTTCGACTCATCTTAATACTTTTAGTTTATCCAGTTTATAATGTTTTTTTTTTTAAATCAATGTTATACATTTATAAAACAACCTGTAACTAAATGTATATTATTTATTTAGTAGTATGTATTTTAGTAGATACAGGAATCCGACTTGGTCTTGTTTAAAGTCGGAATGATTTTTATCTTTTGCCGCCGTGAACGCGTTGGAATGCCATCACATAACTTACTACTAATGACTAGTAAATGATTAATGATTTCAAATTTTAGAAATATTTCGAATGTCTACTCACGCTTGCTTGGGCGTGTTGTGTTCGGTTATTATTGAAATGTTAGGTGTAAACTTATCAGATTGTTCCAAATTAGATTTTCACTTCTGACTTAAGCACATGACACTACAAGCCGGAAATAACAGATGAAATAATCATTCACGATAAATATGCGACTTTTTCACATCAGGCATTTGTACACTGACAAAGTAAATAGAAATAATTAATGTTTCAGGATGGTTGGGAGCTATGTCCACCGGCGTTGCGTTGCTCATCTCACCAGTGACGATTGCATTCTGTCGTCGAAAATCAACAAGAGTGACAGCTGTCATGGGAGGATTAATTACTGCATTAGGATGTTTATTCACATCCTTCGCGACGCAATTTCATCAATTATTTTTTAGGTAAGTATTAATACAAATTACGACTTCGTTATTTTTATTAAACTTGTTTTGACGTAACTTACAACTGTTTTATTATGATAATATCGTAAAACAGAGACGATAAATTAGTGTGAATGGTCTTCGTGACTGTCCGAAAAAAATAAACAAAGCAGTCATTTTCTTACAACCTTACGCAATTTCGCAGGCCTCTACGTATCTTATTATAAGACAGTCACATTTATCTTCCAATAAATAGGTGCTTCTTGTTATATTCTAATTTTATGATGACAACGGAACAAAAACAGATATATAACAATAAAATCAACGACGGTATCTTACCCTCGACTTATATCCTTCATTAGCCTTATTATTTCTTATTATTCGGACCAATATACCTGATTAGTCCTTAGTAGGATTTTGTTTTTTTTTTGTTAGGGGGTCTAAGAATAATCAAGACAAACAGAAGGAAATTCAATAGATAGTTTACGCAAATAAATTCGATGTCATGTGAATGATCTCAAAGTACCTTGTTTGTGCTCTTCTTGATTCTTCTGCGGTCGGTCGAGTGTAGAAACAAGACAGTTTCCAAAGTAAGCAGAAACCGGAAACTATAACTAGTCTCCTCTGCCCCCTCTGAAGCCCTAAAAGTTCGTCAAACCGACTAGCGTCTAACTAGCGACCGAACAATAACTCACCCGATGGTCATTCGATGTCGAATTGCGACTCTAGGAGAAAAAAAACTGAAGCGGAAACTAGAAGTAGGTTACTTGTTATTGAGAGAATGAAGATGTGAAGCGATGAAACTGAAATCGAATTAACTTTTGAAAAACAAAGAAATTATTTCGCCTTTTCCTTCTGTCTGCAGTTATGGAACGGTGGTAGGTATTGGAGTGGGTATCACCCGCGATTGCTCAACGCTAATGGTTGCTCAATACTTCAAACGACGTCGTGAGTTCGTCGAGATTTTCATCGTCAGCGGAAGTGGGTTGGGGATTTCTATCATGTCTACCATCATACGTGGTACAATTGGGTATGACTAGTTTGAGAACTCATAAAAATAATAACCTAATTATTGTTTTTATCTTTAAGAGCTTTGGGATGGCGTCTAGGTCTCCAGGTTGTCACAGGTGCAGTGACAGCCACGTTTATTCTTGGTACTTTTTACCGCTCAGCAAGTTTATACCATCCGCAACGTCGCGCTATTCTGCACATCAAGAATCAAAAGCGCAAGATCAAAGATAAGAACAAAATCGAGGACAAGGTGCCCTTTTTTGACTTCAGTACCCTCAAGAGCAAAACCGTCCGGATTCTGCTAGTCTCCACGGGAATATCAGCGTTTGGGATAAATACCCCGTTGTTTTATTTAGCGTATCAAGCAGAGGTTGAAGGTTTGGGAGATTCCACTGTGTTCCTACAGGTTTATTTAGGGCTGGCATGGACTGTGGGATGTGTTGTGTTTAGTACGCTGGTATTGCACAATTCTACTGAATGCCGGATTGCGAGGCAGTATCTTACACAAACTGCTGTTTTTATGTGTGGGTTGTCAATTCTGGCGTTTACAGTGGTCAGTGGGAATTATCATGCGTATGTGATGTTTGCTTGGATTTATGGTAAGTCAGGAACTATATTTTTTAACAAAAAAATAAATATTGCGGTATATTTATAGGTATATTTTGTGGGGGTTATCACTACTCCCTTAAGATGTATACCTACGAAAGGGTCAGAGCTAGAAACTTTGCAAGGACATGGGGCTTCGTGCAATGCTCTCAAGCCATACCCATTGTCATTGGTGTACCATTTTCAGGTTCGTACTTCTATTCCAATCCAGTGACCTTGTAATATGTTTTGTTGTGTTTAGGGTACATGAATGAACGCTGCGGAGATCGTGCCGGTTACTACTTTAGCTCAACCTGTGTGATTGTGGGTAGTCTTACCCTCTTCCTCATTGACCTTCATCGCCGTAACATTTCCCGACATAAACATACCCGCGAGAATGGTACGCGTCACCTCTGCGTGTCCGATTCGTGCCCAAAACGCAGGAAATTATCATTCTCCCAAGAACCTGATAATGATCCAGGTGGTGTTGCAGCGGGTGCAGCCGCGGCTGCTATAGTCTTAGGAGCAGACATCTCCCCTAATCAACCGATTATTGAAAACATGGTGGGCACGGTGGATCAAAAGGAATTAACTTGTATTTCAGAGGAAGGTATCGCTGATATGGACCTTCCCGATAACCTTCTTGATGATCTAGATTACATTGGAGATTGTATTACGTCATGTAACAAAGTGGAGAATTACTTGATGCTCAGCGAGTTTGAGAATAATTTAATTGCGGAGATGCCGGTTATTCTAGATCGCAAAGGGAGAAGGTGGTCACTTGCTAGGTCAAAGATAAATGAAGAGGCGTTGAATGGCCATGGGACGGCGGATGAAGAAAACGGACTGGGCAGGAACAATTCCAAATGGAAGGTCTTCCCAAACAGGGTGATCACTGTTATCGATGAGTCTTCGGTGTAAATTGTATTATATAAATATTGGGAAACGATTTGTAAGGGTTTGAAGGAATTCTAAGAGAACGAATATTTTGAGGAGGTGTTTTTGAAAACGAGTCAGGATTTTGGATGCGACATTTTTACTAGGAATTTTAAACTATAGAAATATCGTAGAAACTATTACCATTTAAAGTGGAAACAAACCGTAAGACTTACTGATGATAATAACTGCCATCAAAAAAGCTGCCATATTGTCGTAGTACTTAAGCACTTTTACTGATACTGTTGATGATGTAACTATGATTTTTGTTTGTGGAAGTATGTACTACCTCATATTATTTTCAAAAAAGCAAACGTAAACTCAAGTCAAACATTACGAAAGTAATTTTAATTAACTTCAATGTTATTTTTAATCAAAATGATGTCAACTTGAGTCAACTATCACATAAATATGTAAAATACGTTTCATGTATACCTAGCTGTAATTTTGAAGCAAATTTTACCCTTACTACATAAGCATCTTAGCAGGAAATAAATAAAAATGAAGAAATTGTGTCACATAGACAGGAATGAAATGGGATGAAATGGTTGGGAATGCAGCTGATGTTTCTATACAATTTTTCGCTCTCTTGCGCTGTTACACTCTCTTAGTCCTAAATTTACTTAAAGTTATATACTTATGTGACAAATGTATGTAAATGTACTTTACTCTATGCTGTGTCATTATTTATTATTTATGTGTAATGCGTTATACTTGGTATTGTGTGCATGCAAATACTGATTTTCTCTGTGAGTTCTGAAGATTACGGGCACGTAAACAACGTGTATACTATGTATTATTATGATTTGAACAAAACATTTTAAAAGTGAAATATATGATATATTTAAATACGTGATAAATAAATTTCACTTGTTTTATTCGCGGTATTTAAAATATAAGATTTTCAAGTGTAGCTATACAATTATATATTATTATTCATTTGACATGTATTTACTTGAACTGGTATTGTATTCTGCACTTCACGCACGTGTTATCAGTGTTTGTTTGGGTATAAACCGTTCTTTTTTATCGGATTGTGTCGTCACTAAATCGCCCGACACGCTGTAGGCTGCAGACAATCCAGTCTGTTTGTGTCGTCGGTTCGTTCGGACGTGTTTCTCGCGACAAGCCACGTTTCAATTTTAATTTAACAAATGTGTAAATATTCCATGAGCAATCGACGGTATTAGCTCTTAATTAGCGTGTATGGAGTTGTAGCAATAAGTTGTTGTGCGAGGAACAAAACACCACGAATCTCTGTGCAAAATCAATCATCATCAATCAATGGGCGATGTCGGTTTGATTGTTTTGAAACGCAATTGGAATTACACATGTTGACCTTATTTATATGGACATATTGATCTATATTTTGGATACTCATTCTCAACGCGGGAGCTACTATGTAAGTAACATCAATTAATAATAATTATCACACCGGTCTTTCTCGGGTAATATTTCGGGAACTCTTTATGGTATTTTAACTTTTTCATCGGATTCTGTTAGTGGAAGAGCCGTTCTTCAAACCGCAATTCAGCATAATCGCACCTAACTGCCTCAAAATGGCCGCCAAAATTTGTCGTTTTTCCGACAAACCCTTCGTGATATTTTAATTTTTTTTTTTCGGTTTCTGTTAGCTCAAGTAATTTTTACCGACACCCTTGTAACGCCATTGAAAATTACAAAACTTTTTATTGAACAAAATCATAATATAAATTAACTACGTAAAATAAAAGAATAGTCGTTATCGAAACAAATTATTAGTACTTTTAGTCGCGATTTTTGAAATTTTACTATTGGATATATTATTATTTTATATTTTTATCTGATGGAGAATTTTCTAATCTTTCATAATCAGAAATTTGTTGGTTGCGATCGCTTTTAGTTTAAGAGATATTAATTATCGAAAATCGTCGAAAAAAAGTATCAAGCCCCTCCCCCTTGGCAATTTTTTCTTAAGAATTAAAAATTTTTTCTCTCTGATTTCCGCTTTAACTAGCCTATCTTATAGAGAATAGTCCGTAGATTAAGACGCTGCGATCAGATCCTATTTATTTCTTTTAGTTTACGAGATATTCGCATTTGAATAAAATGAGCAAAAATTGCAAAATGTCACTTTTTAGCACTTTTAGTCGCGCTTTTCAGCCTTTTACTGTAAGAAATATAATTATTTTTTGTTTTGATCTGATAGAGAATCATTCAGTCTTTTATAATCAGCAATGCGTTGGTTGCCATCGCTTTTAGTTTAAGAGATATTAATTATCGAAAATCGTCGAAAAAAAGTATCAAGCACCCCCCCTTGGCAATTTTTTCTTAAGAATTAAAATTTTTTTTCTCTCTGATTTCCGCTTTACCTAGCCTATCTTATAGAGAATAGTCCGTAGATTAAGACGCTGCGATCAGATTCTAAATATCTCTTTTAGTTTGCGAGATATTCGCATTTGAATAAAATGAGCAAAAATTGCAAAATGTCACTTTTTAGCACATTTAGTCGCGCTTTTCAGCCTTTTACTGTAAGAAATATAATTATTTTTTGTTTTGATCTGATAGAGAATCATTCAGTCTTTTATAATCAGCAATGCGTTGGTTGCTATCGCTTTTAGTTTAAGAGATATTAATTATCGAAAATCGTCGAAAAAAAGTATCAAGCACCCCCCCTTGGCAATTTTTTCTTAAGAATTAAAATTTTTTCTCTCTGATTTCCGCTTTACCTAGCCTATCTTATAGAGAATAGTCCGTAGATTAAGACGCTGCGATCAGATTCTAAATATCTCTTTTAGTTTGCGAGATATTCGCATTTGAATAAAATGAGCAAAAATTGCAAAATGTCACTTTTTAGCACTTTTAGTCGCGCTTTTCAGCCTTTTACTGTAAGAAATATAATTATTTTTTGTTTTGATCTGATAGAGAATCATTCAGTCTTTTATAATCAGCAATGCGTTGGTTGCTATCGCTTTTAGTTTAAGAGATATTAATTATCGAAAATCGTCGAAAAAAAGTATCAAGCACCCCCCCTTGGCAATTTTTTCTTAAGAATTAAAATTTTTTCTCTCTGATTTCCGCTTTACCTAGCCTATCTTATAGAGAATAGTCCGTAGATTAAGACGCTGCGATCAGATTCTAAATATCTCTTTTAGTTTGCGAGATATTCGCATTTGAATAAAATGAGCAAAAATTGCAAAATGTCACTTTTTAGCACTTTTAGTCGCGCTTTTCAACCTTTTACTGTAAGAAATATAATCATTTTATGTTTTGATCTGATAGAGAATCATTCAGTCTTTTATAATCAGCAATGCGTTGGTTGCTATCGCTTTTAGTTTAAGAGATATTAATTATCGAAAATCGTCGAAAAAAAGTATCAAGCACCCCCCCTTGGCAATTTTTTCTTAAGAATTAAAATTTTTTCTCTCTGATTTCCGCTTTACCTAGCCTATCTTATAGAGAATAGTCCGTAGATTAAGACGCTGCGATCAGATTCTAAATATCTCTTTTAGTTTGCGAGATATTCGCATTTGAATAAAATGAGCAAAAATTGCAAAATGTCACTTTTTAGCACTTTTAGTCGCGCTTTTCAACCTTTTACTGTAAGAAATATAATCATTTTATGTTTTTATCTGATAGAGAATCATTCAGTCTTTCATAATCAGCAATCCGTTGGTTGCTATCGCTTTTAGTTTAAGAGATATTAATTATCGATAATCGTCGTTGTAGGAAGTATAATATAGAATAAAGTATAATTGTAACATTCAACTAAAGTTGTTTTAGTTTCGCAGCCTCAAACAAAAAAAATTTATGTAATACATACTTTGATTTTACGTGGATTGATATCTGTTTAATTTTTTCGTTGCGCTGGTTATAAACTCAATTAATCTTGTAAAAATGTCGGTAAATATTAATTCCGCATCGGGATGTTTGATTAGATACATTGGTAAATTTGTATGTATGTCGATGAATCAATTAAGTTTTCTTTTTCTTTTTTTGTTTGTTTTCGTTTCGTTTTGGTGTATAATGATTGCATTTACGTTAAACTGCGTGTATTATTTTTAATTTATTGAGTATGAGTAGCACATTTAAATATAGGTCAATAATTCGGGCTGAGATGGCACTAGGATGCATTTATTTGCATTAAATATGATTTGTTTGTGGTAGTGTGTGCACATCGTGTCGGTGTGAGATCACGCGATTTCGCGCAAGAGATAAACTTGTTTACATACAAAAATCAAATCTTCGTTTTACGCTACGAGTTCTTACTAAGAATTATAGATAAACTGTTGCAGTTTAAAATTCTAATGTAAGTTTATTCATGAATAGAATATTCAAATAAAACTAAGAATAGGGTTGCTTCATTGCGTTTTTTTTTTCATTAAAAGCAAAACAGGATTATTAAAATTATAAAATTGCGATTCATTCAATTCTAGTACATTTTGTGACACTAGTGAATCTATAATTTAATTTAGGTACATTTAATTGTGTCATTTATTCTTTTACAATATTGAACTCGGTAGATTTGTTTGTTATCTTCTGCTAGCATAGTGCAGTCGTCCGACGGATTGTGTTGTTGTTGCTATTCTACGCCGCTCGCAGTGTTTATATTACGCGCATTTCAGTCTTATCGCCGGTCGACTGTCGTGCGGTTCATTCTCTTGATTCGCATAATTTCTGGAGATTTTTAATTCCGTGTTATATTCGGTGTTCAGTGCTAATTTCTCTATTTTTAATGTTTCGTGTGTGTTTTGTGTTTACAAAAGACGTGAAAATCATATTGGTCATCCGCAGAAGATCCAACCGCTTGAATAATTTTACTAATCGGAATATTATCACAGGTAATCCAAATTTTAATATATTATTTCCGCTGGATTCGTATTTAATCGTATATTCGCCGGGATGTGACTACGGAATACTTGCCGACGGACCGCAGATTGTTCCTTTTTTATTCACGAGTTGCTTCCTTATAATGTTTGTGTGTTACGTTGAAATTAAATATGTTGCATTCTCAAATACTGTTTATTATTCCTGATTATGAAATAATCAATTATTATTTATTAAATTCGAATTAATTTTCGGTCGCAGTCAAATTTATTCACCTACAAGCTGTATATTTTTATTTAGAATAATATTTAATTAAATAGAGTGCAATGTAATGACGAATATTAAGCGCGAAAAGTAAATTGGCTTGGTTTTATTCAAATTATTCCAAAAATCAAATGTTATTGTAGATATAAAACAAGTGCCGGCATGAGACCTCGCACAGCACCCATATTATCTAAAACTCTCCGAATAGAGCATAGATTGCGCTAGGATGCACAAAACTGAATAATATTAAGTCAGGTGATTTCTCAGCTCATGTTTGCATGTGTCTGTTAGTGGCACTCGTGTACGTGTGAGCTCGCGCCGCATGGACATTATCCGTATTCTTTTTATCAGCGATTTGCTTGTTTACTTTACTTGCAGCGTTCAAGTTAAATCTTTTCTATTCAATAAAATAATCCTACACAAATCGCAGATAACCAATTTTCACTTAAAATTTCATGTGACTTGTTACACTTCTTCGTCTTCATGCGTTATAGTTGGGTCACCCCCTGAAATTATGCAGGAAATGACTCAAAATGGCTCTGCAAATCTTGTAATTCTTTACCGTAAAGACTGTAAAAGTGACTCATTTTCAGGTACCTTACGAGGCTAGCGGTAAAAGTGACTCGTGTAGGGAACCGTACAAGGGCAGCGGTAGAAGTGACTCGTGTTCAGGGCACCGTATGAGGGTAGCGGTAGAAGTGACTCGTGTTCAGGGCACCGTATGAGGGTAGCGGTAGAGTGACTCGTGTTCAGGGCACCGTATGAGGGTACCGGTAGAAGTCACCAACTTCAGC